TCAATTGACTTATACATATGTTGCAGTGTCTCTTAATTTCTTTTAAACTCATACATAATGTTATATAGGAATAAAGTGCTGCTGCAGACACTGGGGTCTGAACACAGATAACCAGAGAGAGCAAACACAGGCAATCCCATTTTGAATAAGTAGATCACATGATAGTAAAAGAAATGTATATATGGGAAATAACATGGTGTCTAATTGAACACCATTTCTATTCTATCCTCTATTACTACACGAATCACTCTTTCTACTCTCTCTATTACTATATCGATCGCTATTCCCTATACTGATCACTATTAGCTGGTTACTTTTACTTTTAACCTTTAGCCACCAGGTGCAGATCTGCACTATACTCAATATCAGGGGGTGCCTCTAACATGTAAGCATCTCATTGACACAGTTGTGCCTGGGATGTTGTTATATAGGAATAAAGTGTTGCTTTACTGGAGTTTGAACACAGATCACCAGAGAGCAAACACAAGAGATCCCATTTTGAATAAGTAGATCATGTGATGGTAAAGGAAATGTATATATGGGAATTAGCGTGGCATCTAATTGATCACTTTTTCATTACTATCCATTATCTAAATTACTATTTATGGATCATGATTCTCTTCTGTCTATGGATCACTATTCAGTGGTTACTTTCTGAGTGAGTATTTTCAAGCAAGTACTATCAGTATGAGTGATATTCGAAGGAATCTGACACCAGTATTGTTCAACAGCATTACTATAGTTGTATCTGCGATTACAAAGTCTCTACTACAACGAGGACTACGAAAGTGACAATGAGCATTTTTTGACATTACAAAAGTGGCAATGAGTGTTAATATCACAAAACATACATGCACACACACACACACACACTCATCTATATAATAATAAAACAATGTCTTAAAATATATATATATATACATATATATATATATATATATATATATATATATATATATATATATATAAATTAAAAAACTAATAAGAATATGAGTTACAAGTTTCTTGAATGCATTGTAGATAGAATTCACACTGTTTTAAAAACTGAGAACTCAAACATGTGTATTCACTAAGCTAAAACATTTAAAGTAATAAAAATTATATATGTTTAAAACATTGGTGTATGTTTCATAGTTGGTCTGTTTGAAGGTAACTGAACGTCTTTGTGGCCGAGTAATCTAAAATACACTGGATTAGAAAATGGTTTCCACTACAATGAGGGACGTAGTTTTTCACCCTGCAGGAGAACACATATTCTTTATTAATTTTATTAAGTTTCTTGAATGCATTTTAAATATAATTCACACTGTTTAAAATGTCAACCATGTTGGAGAACATATGTATTCATTAAAGTAGAACATTTAAAGTAATAAGAAATACACACACATATATATATATATATATATATATATATATATAACTTTGGTGTATATTTTTTGTTGGAATTCCCAGGAAGCAAAAATTTTGAGCATATAAGTTCAGCTGTAATATCATAAATAAATTGCATTTGATATTTTATTTTTATTTTTTTTATTATTAGTTTTATTTTTTGTCACCAAGAATTAATTCATTACATTTTTTACAATAAAATCATTTTTAAGCATTAAAAATACTTGAAGAAAGAAGAAAAAATAAAGATAACGTTTTTAAAAAGTTACTAAAGCAAAAGTAAAGTTTTGAAAAATAAAGAGAATACACCCCACACATTATATATATATATATATATATATATATATATATATATATATATATATATAGGTTCGAATCCTGTCAGAGGACGAATATTTTCTGTGAAAATTTCTCGGACATTCAGGCCGGTAAATGTTGTTTAATACTGTCAATTATAAACAGAGCATTTACTTTAACATTTGTATCTATAAAAAGAATGTATAAACATAAAAATGTCTTAAAATAATTGTCGGACTTTGTCCATTTCATAATGTACATTATATATATATATATATATATATATAGTGATAAACAGTTTTTAGTTCTAAAGAAAAAAAATCTCAAAATGTTCAGATATGACAACTGGTTGATGAGTTACAGTCTGGAAACATGTCTTTGCAAACTAAATTATTTGATCCGTATGACAGCCTCATAGAATTATTGGAATCAGACCATCACATTGACTTAAAAAAAAACCTTGGAAGAAAAAAGATGATAAATAAAAATAAAAAAATTGTTTTCACAAAAAAAAAAAAAAATGTTTGTGGGTGAGGGCCACAAGACTCATCCAACCATAACCCTCAGAGCTTTCTTCCAAACTGAGATCAGTCCAAAAAATGATCAGAACCTGATTGCAGGGTTCAGCGACCAATTGGCCTTGATCCAAGAGTTAAAGTTTGAGAAGATAGGAAATCCTGAAGTTAAACTTCTCTTAAAGGTAATTCTTCCAGTTTCTAATGAGAAATTGATTCTTTTTTTATAACACCAATTCATTGTTTTGAATTAAACTATACTAGAAACTTGTGAAGCAGTTTGTTGCTATGATGTCAATGCATATAACCCCTTGTATGATCTCTGCTATCATCTCTAACCTTGATCCCCACAAAGCATGTTGACTTGATGGTATCCCTGTAATAGCCATTAAGGAATTTGCTCTCAAACTGGCTCCTGTTCTCTTTAAACTGTATAATAAATGCCTCACTATCTCTTGCTTTCTTGCCTGCTGGAAGTCATTATCTGTTGTTCCAGATTTTAAGAACTTTGGTAAACTATCTGACCCTTTCAACTATCAGCCTATTAGCCTTCTGCACCTTTTTGGGAAACTCCTAGAGGCCCTAATCAATGCTCAATTGGTTCATCATCTCTCATTGCAGGCTTTTTTTCTCAGACAAGCAATACAGTTTTTGTTTCTGCAGGTCAACTGCTGATGTACTCAGGATAATTATGGAAAGAGTCTTTTGTGAAGCTCAGGCTGTAGATTTGGACATGTTGAAAGCCATTGACAGCGTTTGGCATTCAGGTTTTCTCTACAACCTGAAAAGTTACAGAGTCTACCAGGCACATCTTTGAGCTGATCCAGTCATTCCTATCAAATTGTGAAATGTAAGTTGTCCTGAATGGCCACTCCTCTACATCCTTTCATACTGATGTGGGTGTCCTCCAGGGCTCCATCCTTGATGCTACATTGCTTTTCATCTTTATTAACAACCTCCCCAATGACATCACTTCTCAGCTCTGCATCTGCACTGACGACACTATCATTTACTCCTGCCACGATAATACGGCTGCTCAGTCCGACAAGGTCATAATAGGCAGCTGATGTACAACAAGACTGTTGTTAAGTGGGGCAAAAAATGGCTTGTCAATATTAACGTCTCCAAAACTAACCTTCTCTCTATTAATTATTTGAGTGACCCCTCTCTGACTTCCATCAGCATGGCTGAGGCTATCCTCCAAGAAAGTGACATTGCACCTACTCATGCTAACATTCTCAGCTGACATGAAATGTAAAGACTGAATCCATTGTTCAGTCAGCTGCTAAAATAGTCTGTTCACTGTGTTGGGCGAGACAATTCTTCTTTCTTGAAAAATATCTTGCATAATCTATAAATCTACCATTCTTCTATGCTTAGAATATTGCTGCCATATATGGTCTGGTGTCCCTGTGATTTACCTGGAGCTCCTTGATAAGATCCAAAGAAGATTCAGCAATATCATTATTCCTGATCTGGCAGCTTGGCTTCAGTCACTTGCCCACTGCTGTAAGGTTGCCTCTCTGTGCACTTTTTTTAAAAATACTGTCATGCTAATTGTTCGGATAAGCTCTTCTACTTTCTTCCTGAATGCTCTTTTCTCTTTCTACTTCTACCATGCATTGTAACCCCTTGTTTCTTACTGGTTATACTGCATTGCTTAGGGTGACACTCATTAAAAAAAAAAAGAAAGTATTTTGTTTCTCCCTATCTATTTCCCTCTTTCTAACTCAGTTTGTTCATATCGATCTCAGTTCTGTTTATCTAACTCAATCTTATATATACAGTGCTGTTTGATAAAAGTGACTCACCTGATTTTTTTATGTTTTTGGGGTTAAACTAATTTTTAATCTTACTAATATAAAGACCCCTTCCCGACCACCAAGTAAAAAAGTTTACTCACCCTAAAGTATTCTATAGATAATTATAAATTTGGATATAAATGAGATTTAGGGAAAAAAAAAGTGACTCACTTATTTCCTGCAACCTTTTCAACCCTTTTTGACATTGACTTGATTAGGTTCTAGCAAATCTCATCTCCAAGCATTGAATTCTATTCAGATATGAAATTCACAATCAAATCCTCTTTGTTGCTCAACTGCTTTCTCAAGAGCCTGTACTTTATAATTTTCCATAAGTTTTCTATGGGGTTGAGGTCAGGAAATTGGGGTGGCCATGTCATAACACTCACCTGCTTCTCATCAAAGTATTTCTTCATCAATTTTGATTTGTGACAGGGAGCATTATCCTGCATAAAAATGAGCTTGATGGGGTCGATTTGCACCCTTTCAGCAGAGGGGAGCAGACAAGACTAAAATTCTCTTGTACTGCTCGCTCCTGAGGGTCTTTTCAATAGGTTTTAAGAAACCAGTTCTATGAAAAGAAAAGCATCCCCAGAACATTATACTGAATGGATGCTTGACAGTACTTACTGCTAAATTCAAAGAGCTTTCAAAGCTTCTTCTTCGGATTTTAGATCGCTTATCCTTTGAATTTAGCTCAACTTTAGTTTCATCAGAGAAGAGAACATTCAGTAAAAAAAATCAGGTGAGTCACTTTTATCGAACAGCACTGTATATCTATGTGTGTGTATGTGTGTTTGTGTGTGTCTCTCTGTCTTATTTATTTATCAATGTCTGTTTCTATCTGAATCAGTTGATATCTATCACAATACATTCAAAATTGCCTATCATGAACATATCTACCTGTTTCCTATCTACCCAAATTATATCAATCTATCTATCTTGACCTGTCTATCTAATTTTCTATCTCAGTTCATGTCTATCTCAATTTTTATATATGTCAATCAATTTCTATCTATCTATCTATCTATCTATCTATCTATCTATCTATCTATCTATCTATCTATCTGTGTGTGTGTTCAGTGCATGTATACCTAGGTTTTCAATACTTTATAACCACTTGACACTTGTTTGACTGCTGACAGATAAACAGTGCATGCGCATAAAACTTTAGGTCAGGACAAAACCGCAAAATTTAAGTGTCGCATTTTTTATATGTTGTATTTTGTATATTATTCCATCTCTCTATATATTTTATATTATACATTTAACTCTGTATTTTTTTAGCATCTTCATTATTTGTTGTATTAATCAATATCTATCCTTATATATATATATATATATATATATATATATATATATATATAATGTATATGTGTGTGTGTGTGTGCATGTGCATCAATATTGCTATTAATATGTACATATGATTAATATACACACACATGTGTGTGTGTGTGTGTGTGTATGTAATGTATGTATGTATAATGTAAATTTTGGCATTGGGTGGCATGTCTCTTCAGTCATCTGAAATCAAAAACCAGAAGAATAATGCAAAATCACTGGAACTGGAAAGAGCTGTCTTTGATTGCATCCGTTTTTGGCAGTGCCAGGAAGATAATTGCAAAGATCAAAGAGAAAACAACTTTTGGGCCATTTACTTTCTCAGTGCCAGAGACAAAAAATGCAAAACCTGCCAAAGTTTGAAGTCCTTCCAGTTTTTTTCTTTCTTTTTTTTTTTTATTTTTTATTCTTTGTCTTTTAAATTTTAGTGAAAGATGAGGAGAAAAAGAGATAATAACAATGGGGGTAAGTTCCAATGAAAAATTTGCATTAATGAAGAACGTTTAAATAACAATGATGAGAAGAAAAGGAAGCCTTGAAAATATTGTGCATCAGTAAAAGAGCTGAGAGGTAAAAATAATGAATTCCGTTAATGATAAAAATGGTATTAAGCACAACGGGAAGATTAATAAGTTTCAGACATTAGTTATTACAAATGCAGTTACAGTGGGAGGTTAAACTGACAAGTTCTTAGCCTTACCAAACACTTTCAAAAAAATACTCATGTTTGGTCATTGAATTACTGGTTTTTGTAAATGAGTTGTATCAAGAATTTTTTATTACCATGTGTATATATATATATATATATATATATATATATATACCTAGTGGTTAGAATGTTAGCTTTCTGATCATGAGACCCAGGTTTGAATCTCACCAGGGTTGATTTGTCACAAAGGAGACTTCCTGATGTTATCGGTCTGGGGGAGGATGATCCAAGTGTGCGGCACCTTTGGAAATGGAGTGAAAATTGGGTAGACGGAACACTAGGGGAGCCACCTATAGCTGTGCTAGCATGAAATCACAAGTCATTGTGACCGAGGTTTTGAATGTACTGGCCTTGTTCAGATTGTTGATCAAGCTAGATAACATGCTCTCTCCCAGAAACTGTAACTAATGTCTGCTCAGCATAGTTTCAATATAAAACACAGGTGGGCTCTGTGTGTGTTGAACAAACACATATGTGCCTGAGTGTCTGCAATAGGGATTGGCTAGCCACCCTAGTAAATGGGTATCCTCAAATACAAGTGGCCAGCTATTATATATACAAATATATAACATTTATTCCAAATTATAACATCACTGTTATAACATCAATACAATAATTCTAATTCTGTTTCAACATTACTGGTGTCTTATCAAGTGATTGTTTATTGCAATCAACATTGTGGTCTATACAGTCTTAAACCTATCTTGAATTTGCAATTTACTTGTAGTAGAAGGTAATATAGTGCAATAAAGCCATCTCTGGAGGTTGTAACTCTCCTTTGAGAGGGGGATTGTGTTAATCTCTGAGGCCTGATTTGTTTGTTTTGTTTTATGGCATATCAACCTCAGTGAGTTGTTTGATACTGACAACATTTTTTCCCTGGTAATATTTCGTTTTGTCAAAAATCTATTTCAGGTAATATTTTCTTCCTCAAAAATGTATAGCTGGTAATATTTTTTTTTTTAAAATGTATTGCTATTAATTTTTTTTCTTTTCAAAAACTTATTAGTGGTAATATTTTTTTTCAAAAATATGTTGCTAGTAATAGTTTTCTTTTTCTTCAAAAATTTGTTTCTGGTAATAATTTTTTACAAAGTATTTCTGGTATTAAAACCTAGTTTTACACTTTCATAATGCTTTTTATCTCAGTTTTGGGGTTAACTATTTGCCCTTAGCTGGGACCCTAACAGGTGCTACCACCCCAGATCAGGGTGGACCTGGGAACACCAGCAATTTTAAGGTGGTTCCACGCTCCTCAAAACCTCCTGATTAGAAGACTTGCTGTTGGACGTAGTTTATTGCCTTACTTTGGACACGGATGTAGTTTATCGTCATACCCAGGATGGCTGAGGACTGATGTCTTTTCATATGGGGAAATGCTGGAGAGGCTTGAAAAATTTTTGTTCTTTGTTGCTTGCATACATGACTCTCCACATAGTTGATGTTTTCAATTTTATTGTATCCTATTCATCTTGTTTGTTTTAATAAGATTTTTCTGGGTGGCCATTAGGCAATTAGTTTCTCTATTCAGATGTCCTTTTCACAACCATGTTAATGTTATTACATCTGCAATTTTATTTGATTGTCTCTTGAAAATTATATGCAGTTTTTTTTTCTCTCCATTTTTATTATTGTTCAAAAAAGTTCATTTTTTAACCAGGTGTTCTAATAAGTAGAACTTAACAGTAAACCTTTCTAAGGCAGAAACTACGATCTTGAATTGGAATGAAAGCAGTGATGGCACATATCCTGAATCCATCATAAAATTCAGAATGTGAAATTAGTGCTTCAAAAACTTCAGTGTATGGATCAATTATAACAAATTTAGTATAGGAGATAAGAACATTGAAAATAGCTTACCCTAGTGGTAGTTTTGCCCAACCCCACAAGCTGCTACAAAACCAAAACATTAACCTAAAAATATGTTCCAGACTCTCATATGGATGGCATGCATGGTTTCCAAATCATTCATAAATGTCTGAACTATATTAATGCAATCATTTTCTCATATCAATGATTAAAAATGGCTTGAATCAAACTAGCTTTCATCTGATCTCATAGAATGGTGTTACTGAATCATAGACAAATAACTTTACCAAAAAACGAAAAAAAACATCACCTCCAACAGCAGCACATGTAACTTGAAGAGAAAATTATGACATGATGAACATATTGATTTCCCCTCTACCTTAAATAAAAAGTTAGGAAAGAAACTCCCATAAGTAGTAGAAGAAATGAGGAGGTGGACTTGGGAAGTCTATTTTCTTGAAAAACTGTTCAAAAGAAATGCTTTACAAATTTCAACCAATTTGTCCATGCTTAGAATATTACTGCCACATTTAGTCTGGTGCTCCTGCTATTTACTTTGAGCTTCTTGATAAAATGCAAAGGAGAATCAGCAATATTATTGGTCCTGATCCTGTTTGCCTCTATATGCCTTTTCTATAAATACTGTCATGATAATTATTCAGATGTGCTCTTCGCTATGGAACCTAGATTTTTTGAATTTCAGTGTGGCACTAGACTGGTGTTGAGATCTCATCAATTTACAGTTGTTCTGGCTAAATGTAACCATAAATTCTCTGCTAACAATTTCTTTTCTCATACTCCTTGCTTGTGGAACTTATTTTCATCTCAATGCTTTCCAGCCAACATTAGTCTGCAAAAATTTAAATGCAGTGTCAATGGCTATCTACTGTCCTCCTGATCACTCTCTATTCTTTCTGCTCATCATTAATATTTTTGTTCCTAATTTTTGCACAACTTGTAAACCTTTGTGTTTCAGTGGCATTACTGCCTTGCTTGGGGTGATTCTGATTAAAAAAAAAAAAGAAAAAAAAGAAAGTAGTCACGCCAACTATTCTGTTAATGAATGTTCAGTGTTTCCTCAGAAGAAAACAGTTAATCTCTCCATTCCTATTTAGCCAGGAAAATTAGATCTAGACAAATTATATGCTCTTGGTCTCTGTCCTAGTGCATCTGCACCACAAGGATCTGCAATAGGAACGTTTGGCTTGTATACATTTGGAGCGATCTTTTGTCACACTTCAAGAATTAGGAACGTCATCATGTATCTTATTCAACCTTTCATAAAAATGGATATCCTGCTGATATCTAAAATTGGCTTACCATAGTCTTATAATATTTTTTCTCTTTGCTATTTTCATAACTTCAGGAAGTGCAGGTGATGTAACGGATATTGATGTGTACAAGTGGAATTGACAACCAAATTTCAAATTCTGGCCTAGTCTTTCACATTCACTTTTAAAAAAAAATGCTCTTGGGAATAGATTGAATCTATTTCTTCTACAGGGTGGTAGCACCTGTTAAGGTCCCAGCTATGGGAACACAACCCACCAAACTGGGATCAAAACATTATGAAAGTATAAAAAAATATTTTTATAGTAAATTAACAGCAATACATTTGACTCTTTACAAAAATATGTCAATGAAACCTGATCTACAAAATTATTTTTTACAAAGAATATGTATTATATTCATATAAACCTATCCTAAAAATCTTGTCAGCATCAAATAACCCATTGAGGTTGATATATTGTAAAACAAAATCTATATCTTCTACCTCAGCTATTGGATAGCGATTAGTCTAACAGAAGGAAAGATCTGGATTCTAAACCGTAGAGAAAGCAACGGGTATTTCACTTTTTTATGTGCAGTGCCTTCCCAGAAACTAGGTAATGATTGCTCTCCACAACTTCCTGTCACTTGTAGGTCTTTATAAATTTTGTCTTTCTGTTATTTCTCCAAAACCCTGTTCTGTCATCTATTTACCCAAACTCACTAAGTATGACATGTGCTGTTTTTCTCTATCTTGCCTTATGAAAAATGAAGGAGGAGGAGGATTGATACTAGACCAAGCCATGAAGAAATGCGTTCTCGGATACTGTCAATTATCTGAAACAATTCTTGCCGTTAAACTGAATAGAAAGCCTTTCATCATATCCATCATAGTTATGTATGCACTGATAGCACAAAGTATAGAAGAAGAAGTTGAAAAGTTCTATTCTATGCTAGACA